TGGTGGGGGGGGCAGGGCGTGTGCAGGAAGAAGGCGGCTCTGGAGAGGGCGCAGCTGCAGCTGCATGAGGGCAGAGTCAGGGCGAGGAGCAGCGCCAGGCACCTGCCCGGGAGGGTGGAGGAAGCGGGGAGCCCATGACACAGGAGGAGGGACGGGGAGTCCAGGAGAAGGGCAGATGGTACAGTGGAGGAGGACGGCAGCAGCCTCGAAAGGAGAAGGGCCACGAGCAGAGGCCGTAAAGTGTGAGGTGGGGGCCGGACCCCAGGGAGGTGAGGAGGAGACTGACGGGAGGCGGTGCAGGCACCACGTGGCACCTCTCTGTCAAGGGGCTTATCGGTGAGGGAAAAGAGCACAGGCGGGAGAGAGTTGGGCTTTGCAACAGCACCTCCCTCTTCTCTGCTGTTTGAACATCAGATCAGAGGTGGGGTGGGGGGAGCAGCCGAGGTCCCTGCTCCCTCCACCTTTTGGGGCGTGTACAAAGCGGGCTTGAATGGGCCCAGGTGCAGAGTCGCAGGCAGCCTCCCCCTCCTCCTCCAGAGCCTGTGGAAGTGTCCTTCCTGCAGAGAAAATTCTGGCTTATTGTCCAGGCACAGAAAGCATTGCAGAGCAGCGTGGGGCGCAATGATGTCACGACCTGTCCTTGCTGTAGTACCTCTTCCTCCTTTCCAGGAGTGTCCCTTAGATAGGGCAGGGTTGCTGGCTGTCCTTGTCGCCTGACTACGCTGTGCTCTCCCCTTCCCAGCAAGAGGGCTTTGCTATCTACTCCGAGTACTGCAACAACCACCCGGGCGCCTGTGTGGAGCTCTCCACGCTCATGAAGCAGGGCAAGTACAGACACTTCTTCGAGGCCTGCCGCCTGCTGCAGCAGATGATCGACATCGCCATCGACGGGTTCCTCCTCACGCCCGTGCAGAAGATCTGTAAATACCCTCTGCAGCTGGCCGAGCTGCTCAAGTACACCACGCAGGAGCACAGGTGAGGGCCAGCCCTGAGGGCCAGCCCCCAGGCGTCCACCGGTGCTCTCCCTGTAGGTGGCAGTGACAGCTGGGCCCACGTGTCAGACTTCACACTTGCAGTGGGCTCTATGGAAAAAACGTTCTGAGTGTTTAGAACGTTTATGATTGTTAACTATTGAAATAGGGTAATTGAAGAGGCTCCAGAAATTCCTAGAGATATGAAAACGTACGGTAATTCTTAAACTGTGTCATGAGAGCGTGGGGATTTTTACTGTATTTGCTCTTCCTTATAATTCACATATATTATATAAATATTCCTTTGCAGCTACTCAGTACTTAATAAAACAATTTTTAAGAGAAATAGACCAGCGAGAATACAGTTTCAGAAGCATATTCTTCCTTTCTGTACTCCTTAAAGTGCTTCACAGCAGCTCACCCTCAGAGCAGTTATTATTTAATTATTTACTGCCACAAAAGGCTACTGTACAGAAGCAGGAGGATGAGACAGAAGTTTGAACCACGAGAGGGTGGGGAATGTCAGGGGATGGAGCAGGACACGGGGGTCAGTGAAGGTGCGCATCTTCCTGAGCTCCGAGCCCTTGCCTGTTGCCTGGGCACTGTCTGTCTGCAGCCCTTCTGGGAGGATGAGACAGAAGTTTGAACCACGAGAGGGTGGGGAATGTCAGGGGATGGAGCAGGACGCGGGGGTCAGTGAAGGTGTGCATCTTCCTGAGCTCCGAGCCCTTGCCTGTTGCCTGGGCACTGTCTGTCTGCAGCCCTTCTCCCCGCTGCCCTCTCCCGTGAGCACAGGGCATTTCCAGGATTACCTGAATGCTCCATCCCCCTTTTGGGCTTACTTTGTGCCTAACTAAGCTCTTCTTGTTACCACACACTTGTCCTGAACAGCAGCAGCAAAATACACACACACACTCTCTGTTTTCTGTCTTGATTGCTTCTGGATCATCTCAGGTCCTTGTTCCCTAGCTGTATGGTCTCTTCTGGGGGATCCAAAAAGTTACTCCTGCTTACTTAATAGCAAACTGTCATTCTCCTGCATGCACAGAAGCCTTGCGTGGTCATAGGTGAGATATACCACCCGTTCAGTGCTGGAATGGGCACACCCGTCTTCCCTGACATAGGAAGATGTCCCCACAGTGCCCATCTATTTGGTGCCTTGAGGTAGCAGTACTTCATTAATTGTTCCTGTTCTCGCCTGGCTACAATGGAATGCCAGTGGGGACATGGCAGTTATGGGGCACCTACTGTGTGTAGACTCCGTGGTTCTAGGATAAAGCTTACTGTTTGAGGTGAGAATCACACCCCCGAGGTCCATGTCACTAGTGCAGAGCACTTACAGCTGCACCCACAACTCCAGAAAGGGTCCTGATGAGTCCCAGTGCGAAGAGAGAGAGGGAAGGACTGTACCCAAAGGAAGTTTCTGTGGCAAACCCCAGCAATTCTGGGTTTTAACAACTAAATATCACCCTGTAGGGAGTGGGGAAGGATCATTCTCTTGTTCTGTCTGTCTCAACTCCTGGGAGACACCAGGCTTGAAAGGGCAACATGTTCACATTTAGATTGAAAGGTTACTGAACAATAGACCCTAGACATGGGTGTTCACTTAAAGAATTAGGACTAAAGGAATAAGAGAAAAGAGTTTATCTAAGATAAAAGAAAAGAGAACTATATATTTTTTTCTTTTTCTGGTGAAAAAATCAGAAAAGTTCAGTGGAAAAAAATAGGAAAATCAAGAGCCACAAATTTGAAAACGTTTTTTAAAAAGAATGAAAAGGCATCATGATAAGGAGGCAGAGGAAATAAGAGAACCTAGAAGCAAAAACTGCCTGAAAGATGGGCAAGCAGCAGCCTACGCTGCCTGCCAAGGTGGGAAGGCTGCGGCCCGTGGCCCGCGTTCCTCTTCTGTATTGATTGTTTCTCTTTTAAGGGCATTTTTCAGTCTGAGCACTTACTCTGAGATTTTGGCTATTTCAAAAAGAAAATCTTTTAAAGGAAATGACAAAAAGCCCATTTCCTTGTCTTAAGTAAACAAAACAAATTCTAAACAGACATTACATTCTGCTTCTTTTCCGGCAGTGCACAGAAAAACTCACTTTGAGCCTTTCTTCATTGCCCTCTCGTGTGGTTTTTGTTTCTACTTCCTGCTTGGCTTCTGTGCGTGAAGAGGCCTGTCTAGACAGCGGGTCTGCTGGGGGGCCGTGCCCAGGGCCTTCCCAGGAGCTGAGTTTAATTCTGTTTGGTAAATAGGCAATAGAATCTGCTTTCAAGGCTTTTTTCCCTGGCTGTACTGAGGATTCTAATTTAGTCCAGCTGAGATCCAGTGGCTCTGTCTGTCCTGTAAGTCACCACAGGAAAGTAAAAAATTCAGCCTGTTAGCTGGATGATTGGCTTACATGTCCCCAAATTATTAATGCTGAGCAGAACCTGAATGTAAAACTTTCAGATACCAGACATGCTCTGTTCCAGCCCGTGTGTAGATTAGAATTATAGCTTCAGTTCTTCCAGTACCTACAGATTTAGAGGACTTGGGGGGACAGGGCCCTGCTGGGGCCCACATTTTAGCTTGATATGATCCAGCAAATGAAAAGCACCAAAAATGAGGATCTGTTTGCGAAGCAAATCCCATATTAGCATTTACATAACTCACCACTTCAGACCTCTATGGCTTGTGTCCTCTGGTGTCCTTTCCTGAACTGTGTAAAAGATGAGACTCAGAGCAAATAATTACTGTACTCGTGAAAGCAGTTAGTGACTTTTAAAGTACTTTATATAGCAAAACTTGTTATATCAGAGTGAAAGCAGAGACTGGAAGTAATAAAGACTGTTCTTTTTATTATTTCTTTTTTATTAATCAAAATAATCCATTGTCACTGTGACTAAAACTTATTTCTTGTGGCATTTACTTTCCACTCATTGTGATTTCTGGGAAATGAATGAAAACGTTCTTATTCCAGAGAATTCTGAATTGTACTCGGTCAGCTCCTTTAACCTCTGCAGACTGTGGTCTATTCATGGGGGAACAAGAAAAAGGAAACAGTGGCTATTATTTAAATACCGCTGTGTCTAGAGGACCAGTACAGGAATTGGAAATTGAGTGCCTTATGTTGTCAGTGTTCATTTGCGAGTTGTGTCTTATATGGTTAAAATTAACTTCCCGTTTTGCAGTGACTACAACAACATAAAGGCAGCTTATGAGGCCATGAAGAACGTGGCATGTTTGATCAATGAACGCAAACGCAGGCTGGAGAGCATAGACAAGATCGCACGCTGGCAAGTGTCCGTGGTGGGCTGCTCCCGTTTTGCAGTGACTACAACAACATAAAGGCAGCTTATGAGGCCATGAAGAACGTGGCGTGTTTGATCAATGAGCGCAAACGCAGGCTGGAGAGCATAGACAAGATCGCACGCTGGCAAGTGTCCGTGGTGGGCTGGGAGGTGAGTGGCCCCCACCACGTGAGCAGACGCTGCCTTCCATCCAGTGATTACGTGCTCTGGTGTATCCTGTGATTGGTACTTTATGTTCTTGACTTTAACAGTATATGTACCATTAATGGTAATACGTATCCTGAAGCATGTTGCTAACTTTAACAATCAACTACTTGACACCCCATGTCCACGAAGAAATAAAATCTGAAGAGGGTTTGTGATTAATTTATTGCTCAGCCTCTGTCTCTGCTGATAGAGAGTAAGCTCCCAGGGACCAGCAAGAGGATGTCTCAAATGCAGTCACAAGATGTGGTGGCGTAGGAGCCTGGGGGACTCGGGAGGAACCTGCTATGTTTGGGTCCTGTATGATCTGCACAAGATGGATTTTTTCATCTGGAAGTTGGGGAGGAAAACTTTACCTACCTCGTAGGCTACTGTGAGCATTATTTAAGACAGTACAAATAATACTGCTTGATGTAGCCTGTAATAATAGTCCAACAGATACACACAATTATGTATGGATTTATAAAAACAACGACAGTAGCTAGCACCTGTAGTGTGTTGCCCACATGTCTGGCCCTGGTCTAAGCCATTTGCGTATAAACTCATTTAATCCTCTCAATGGTGCTATGAGCAGGCACTGTTATTATACCCATTTAGCAGATGGGAAGCCGAAGCACAGAAAGATTAGGTAGCTTGCTCAGGGCCACATAGCTAGAAAGTGGCAGAGCTGGCTTCAGAATTCATACCGGTTACCTCTTTGCTGTACCGCTTTGTTAGGATCAACATTCAGGTTGTTTTTAGGCGAAGTAAGATCCACCCTACATCCATTAGTTGTAACTGGTCAGACTCATTCTCCCAGAAGATTGAGAAAGTTTGGAGGAGAAGTTAGTTTTTAACTGAAGTAGGTTATAGTGGTGAAAGTTGGAGAGAAATATTTATATTTCAGGGGCCTTATAGAATTTTGGAGCTTGGATGGTATCTCAGAGATCACTGAGTCCAACTCCCTTATTTCATAAGTGAAGAATCTAGGGCACAGAATTGCTCTAAGCAAGTAAACAGAGGAACTATTTCGGGGTCAAGCTCTTCTGCCTCCAAAAAATACTGTATATGACTGGGATTATGGGAGAATAAAACTTATAAAACAGGCCAGTGTCACACCAAATACCATAAGGTAACACTGAATTATATCCAACTTAAGTATTGTAGAAGTGTATTTTTCTTTCTGATCATGGATTCTGAAATTTAGGAGATAATTTATTGTCAGAAGTTTACTAATTTCTTGCTGGCAGTGTACTGTCTAGCCTTTTGTTTCCAAGACCCTAAAAATAGTTATCCTAAACCAGAGAGCTTCTGTACACCTGACTCAGAAGCCTCAAGAGTGTGCAGCCCTGTGCTCCCATTCCTTAAAACCTCCTCGGTCCTCCCTTACTCTCAGAGGGTCAGTCTTGGTCAGCTACCATTTATGAGCTTGACTGGATTCCGTCAGTTCAGCGTGCTTTTCACCAGAGGTTTCAGGTAAGGAAGACACATCAGAGAACAGAGCTATTGTAACATTTCTCATTGAGTGGGAAGAGAGGAAAGAAATTTCACACACAAAGAGAACAATAAACCAAGATTTAAATGGCCTCTGAGGCCCTGCCCACCTGTGAACCGGGGCAGGCAGTGGGTGGTCTCAGGTAACTGGAAAATCCGAGAAAGATTGTGTGTCAGGGGCCTCTTCTGGATCCCTGATACCTTAAGGGATCAGAATTGGAAAATAGGGAAGTCAAGAGTGTGTTTTTATCTTTCCAGGGACTGGATATTTTAGACCGAAGTTCAGAGTTGATTCATTCTGGGGAATTGACCAAAATCACAAAGCAAGGCAGGAGCCAGCAGCGGGTGTTCTTCCTGTTTGATCACCAGCTGGTGTCCTGCAAGAAGGACCTGCTGCGCAGGGACATGCTCTACTACAAGGGCCGGACAGACATGGATGAGATGGAGCTCGTGGACCTGGAGGACGGGAGGGACAAGGACTGGAACCTCAGCCTGAAAAATGCCTTCAAGCTCGTCAGTAGGACCACAGATGAGGTTCATCTGTTTTGTGCCAAAAAACAAGAAGACAAGGCAAGGTGGCTGCAGGCCTGTGTGGACGAAAGGAGGCGGGTGCAGGAGGACCGGGAGATGGGTGAGCCGCCTGGCCCGCTGGCCTTTGCCTCTGCTTTCCAACCCCAACCTCCAGCCCCCCTCCCATGCCTGCCCTCTCCCCCCAAGCTAAATCCCGCCACTGAGAAAAGAGAAAGGATTTGCAAATCCTAAGTACTTTCGAACTTGCTTACGCACGGGCCAGGCCAGATATAGTTCCTACGGGTAACAGTTATTCAATATTAATTAACCCTGTGCCAGATACAAGGGTACCTCAAAACGTTTGTGTGAAAATAGAATTAAAAGATAATATGACAGGCCGACCCCGTGGCGCACTCGGGAGAGTGCGGCGCTGGGAGTGCAGCGGCGCTCCCGCCACGGGTTCGGATCCTATATAGGGATGGCCGGTGAGCTCACTGGCTGAGCGCGGTGCGGGCGACACCAAGCCAAGGGTTGCGATCCCCTTACCGGTCACAAAAAGGACAAAAAAAAAAAGATAATATGACTATTTCCACGGACTTTTTGAAGTACCCTCATACTCTGCTGCACGTTTATAGAGATTGTCTTACTGAATTTCTATGATGTGGTTTACTATTATCATACCCATTTTACAGATGAGAAAATTGAGGTTTAAGGAACTGGCTCATTCTTACAGCCTGGCTGAGTAGGATTTAAAACCAGCCTGAAGCACACTATGGCGACTCTCACCAAGGCCATCAGAAATATCACATGATTCCCGTGGTTTTCCCTTGAGCTGTGCCTTTGCAAATCACTTTAAATTTATGTTGCTGCCACAGCTGATTCAGCTCCAGCACCTCTGCCTGCGTGTGTCCACTTCTCTCTCACCCATGACACTGAGGACCATCCATCGTACATTGCAATTAAGGCAGCACTCCCTCACACTCAGTATTACACTGGTGCTTCAGTTTGTCTGCCTGGCTTCTGCTGACCTGGAGGTATTAGCCCTGTGAGATGGAGGCTGCTGTGCCTGGCATTGGTGAGGGCAGTACCCACGGCCTCTAGCACGTGAGGGTTTTGGGCACAGATTGTTGAATGGAAGTCTGGGTGCCTTAAGCATGAGATGGAATGAAGGATAATTATCTCTGCAGCTGAAGTGAGCCAGACTTCAAAGGCCGTGTGGTCCAGTATGGAGGGCAGGCGTCTCCTCCCATCCTCGCCTGCTGCTCTGCTGTGAGGGAAACTAGAATGCAAACCAGGAGGAGCTTTCTTGGTCCTCCCCATGTTGGACAGAACCAGCCATGGTTCTAGGCTTGGCTGTGGATTTTGCTCTCAGCCATGGGAGGTCCCGTGGGATCGTATATTAGACTTGGAAGGGATTTACAAGTCGATTAGGCTGACCTCCCATCAGAAGCAGGAATCTCCTCAGAAATACTCTCAACAGGTGTTTGGACCATTGTAATGACGCCATGGGAGGTCCCGTGGGATCGTATATTAGACTTGGAAGGGATTTACAAGTCGATTAGGCTGACCTGCCATCAGAAGCAGGAATCTCCTCAGAAATACTCTCAACAGGTGTTTGGACCATTGTAATGACACGGAGCTCACCACCTCCCAGGTGGTCCTTCCACTGAGTGTCAGGGTGTCCTTTAGACCAAGAGGAAATCTGACTGCCATCAAGTGCCGTATATTGGTGCTGACACTAGGGCCCCATTGGAATAAAGCTAATCACTGTCATACCCAAGATGTTTCAGATATTTGCAGATGACAGTTACTAAAATGGAAAATGACAAAGCCACCTATCTTAATTTTACCCATCACGTGATGTTGTCTAGTGCAGGGGCATCCTAAACACTTTTCAACTCTGCCATTCCGCAGAAAAGAAGGGAGCGGCCTGATTATCCCTTTGCTGTGCAATGTTTCCCCGTACCTAGCGTCCAAAGACATGAATGAATGGATGCACAAATGACTGAATGCACGGGGCATTCCTGAGCCATTAAGCTGTGAACTGGGTGAGTGTGGGATAGAACAGGACCCAGGCCCTTGCTGGAATGCTGTGCTGGTCTCAGTGCCCGATACACGGTGTGTGGGCAGATGCTGGAGATACTGCAGACTAGGATGGAGAGGTCCACGCCCCAAGATGGCCATGGAGGGCCAGGAGGCGTGAGGGGCCCAGGGACCAGTGTGGGGAGCCAGTGAGATATCAAGGACTAGGCAGGAACAGATGTTGGGCAGATGAAGGAGTCCAGGCTGGGGGTGCGGAGCATATCAGGGCGAGGTGAGTCCCGGGGCATGACTCAGGAGTGTGAGTAGCAGGGGCGGTCCCGCATCAGCTCCAGGAGGAATGCTGCCCGCTGGAAGGCAGGACCCAGCACCTGCCGCCTGTCTCCTCTCCAGTTTGCCAGGGCTGCACAGTTGCACCCAGCTCGCCCACTGCACGCAGACAGCACCACTCTGTGCAGCTGGGGTACAAGTCCGGTTCCCTTTCATTACTCAGGCGGTACCTTTGAGGACAGTCACTGACTCACATAGCTCTCACAGCCCAGAGGTGAACAGGCCCTGGGGCCCTTTGGCTTTGACTTCTCCTCCCAGCGCCCCATACTTTAGGGTTATAATCAGGGCGATCCTGTGTGAACATTTGCCCCGAGTGTCTGGCTTTACACAGATAGTCTGGGCTTCACTACTAACAGCACCCCATTTCACTCTTAACCCCAGGTTTGGAGGATAATTTTGTGGCCACCCTAGTGATAATCCTTGTGACTTCTCCTTTTCCAGTCTTTTCAACTGCTCAAGGTCCCTTGAGGATTAAGCTTCTTTGTTTCGGGTTATGATGACTACTTCAGCACTAATATGGGTTGTGGTGCAAGTTTTATTATGGAATGATTTCACTTGTTCTGAATATATCTCACATTTGTTTCTAAATTTAGGAATGGAAATTTCTGATAGTCAAAAGAAACTTGCCATGTTAAATGCTCAAAAGGCAGGACATGGAAAGTCAAAAGGTAAGTTTTGGAGAAGCCTTATCTCCTTAGTGTGTGTATCAGTATTGCAGTGCAAGTGGGGGGCGCCCACTGTTGTTAGCCTGTGACCAATGCTGAGAGACGAAGAGGAGAATGAGTTAAACCCAAAACGATAGATTCAGGAAAACGGGCAGTTGGAGAGAAGCTGCGTTAGGTTTTGAGTATCAGTGTTTGATCCCATTTGAACATGGGCATATAAGACCTGTTTTGAGGCAGGACCCGAGGGTGCAGGTTGTGGACCTTTGGTCCCACGCACACCTCTGCTCCTCTCCCTCCTGAGGAGAGGGCACACTCTCCACCAGGTGACGCAGGCCACCAGCATGAGGCAGACCGAGGTCTCCTGAGGAGGAAATCTCCAGCCCCAAATTGAAGGCTGCTACATTCTAGTTTAGGTAAGAAAAGTGATCTGAAAGTTCAGTATATCAGGCAGTGAGTTAAACCAGAGACACATGAGCTTTTTGGAGCAGGGATCCCCACCCTTGGTGCACATTACAGCTACCTGGGCAGCGATGTGTAGGCAACATACCCAGGCGCCCTCATGTGCAAACAGATTTTTCAACAGTGCAGTTAATACAAATGATCAGTCCTAATAGAAATTAAATAATAAGGATTTTTATTGCAAAAATACGTGCTGTATTCTTAGAATCTTTATTAAGATTGAATTTGTACTCTGAGAGAGATTTCCCTGTGAAATTTATCCCGTTCGGAATTTTACTAACTGAAAATGCAAATACAAAAACCAATGAAGTCCCAGGACCGTGATAGGTCATCCACTAGTGGGCCGAGGAGAATTCATTACCAAGGACACTTAGCATTCCCCTGTAGTCTCTGTGTGGGTACAGATTGTTTCCCCACCAAGTTGTAAAGATCTCCGAGGCAGGCAATATATTTTATTCTTTTTTTTATTTTTTTTTTTTTTTGCATCTCCACTTTTACTGGCAGGTGACTAGTAAATATCAGTATGTTAGAATTTATTAGGTTCTGTCTTATCTTCTAAGAGTCACTTGCACAGCAACTAGGTGCCCAGAGAATGGGGCAACCACTAACATTTATGGGTAATCACATGTGGGGCCCCTGACAGGGGTTATCCTCTTCCATCCTCCCTGTCACTCTGTGAGATAAGGAAAGCCCTATGCTGAGTCAGGGGTGGGGGTGGCTTCTCAACCAAGTCCTGTCTGCTTCCCAAACCCATCCACTTCCATCATATCATGCTGACTTGCACAGATTTAAAATGCCTACACTGGGCCGGCCCGGTGGCACACTGCTACAGTGCGCCGCTTGGGAAGCGCAGTGGCGCTCCCGCCGAGGGTTCGGATCCCACATACAGACCGGTTCCCGCTCACTGGCTGAGCGAGGTGTGGGCGCAACACCGAGGGTTGCGATCCTGTTGCCGGTCCCGGTCCGGTACGGGCACGACACTGAGGGTTGCGATCCGTTGCCAGACATGAAAAAAGACAAAAAGAAAAAAAAATAAATAAAATGCCTACATTAATGAAACAGTTTTGATTAAAGCAATTAGGTATTGGGGCACTGTTCTAAGCACTTTACTTATATTAACTCTTTAAATTCTCATAACAATCCAGAAGGTACTATTATCTCCATTTTAGAGATTAGGGAACTGAGGCACAGAGAAATCAAGCAATTTTTGAAATAATTCAATCTTTGGTCGGGGCAGTACAAGTACCAGGCTTCCATTTAGAGCATTTTATTGCTTCTCATCTCAACTCTCAGTACATCTGTGATTCCTCCACTTACTGCTGTGTGACTGTAGGTGATTCACATGAACTCCCTGCATTTCGGTTCCTGTCCCTGTCAATGTGGCATAATGGTGCCTTCTCTGGAGCGGTTTTGGGAGGATTCAAAGAGATGACCTGTGTCAAGCTCCACAGTATCGAGCATAAGAGTTATTTCTTAGGATAGCTATTAGATGTTCTTTTGGTTAATGTGAATTAAGAATTAGCTAAGAACTTCAAGTTTTGGCTACCAAGTGACTCTCAGTCCATGTTCCATCTCTCTCCCCTTCCGCGCTAGGCTATAGCAGCTGCCCTGTGGCCCTGCCGCACCAGAGCCTGCATCCCATCCACCAGCGCCACGTCACCGTGCCCACCAGCATCCCCCAGCAGCAGGTCTTTGCCCTGGCAGAACCCAGGAAGAAGCCCTCACTCTTCTGGCACACCTTCAATAAGCTCACCCCTTTCAGGAAATGACAACGGAGGCCTCACAACCCTGAGGTGACTACAAAGAGGAGAACCGGTCTTGTTTCTTCTCTGCGAAATCCAAGGAAAGTTTCTTGGACCCAGTGCCAAAAACTTCTTTTTGGGGATCAGTGAAGGAGAGGGCTTGGACTCACTGTCAGTCTTCAGAGATCCAGCTGCCTTCGTGGGAGGGAGGAGTAAGTCATGATGTGCCACTTTGTCCTGCACAAGAAGCCCCTGTGACCTGCTCTAAGGTGGCCTGGACTTGGAGACCCATGTCATGCCGAAATCAAGCTCTGAGGCCGAGTCCCCATGGGCATCGCCGGTGAAGAGCATGCCCCTCCTGCGATTCCGGACGTGGGATGCCAGGAGCACTCCTTTTCCTAAGGAATGACCGGATTAGAGGATCACTTTAGCATGTGGTTTTGAAGGGAAGCCACTTGATAGAGATGGGGTTGGTGTGACACTGCCTCTCACTGGCACATGTCTACTCATACCTGGAAGGTGAGCTCTGACTCCCTTCTGTAGCGTTCTGGGCACGCAGCTGCCAGCGGTAGTGCAGGTTTCCTCTCCCTGCAAGCTAAGGGGAGAAAACACCGTGCATCACCACCTGGCGGCATGGTCTCCAGGGCAGAGTGACTTAGCATTCTGAAGACACTGCACTTGCAAGGCAAGAGCGGGGAAAGCCTGCTGTATGCTGGGCTTGTCCTTCTCAAGCCAGGTCCTCTCCCGCTTGTGCGCCTTGTGTAACTCCACAAGCAGAAGTCATATCTTGCACACACATCATGACCTGAGAAACTGCTGTTCAGACAAATGTTTGAATATAAAAGCCTATTCATTGTAATTTTTATGATAAAGTAAATATGAAAATGCATGGGTTGGAAGGCATCCTTCAAGAGTATCCCTGTGTTTCCAGCAGCTGTTGCTGACATCCTCATCGATGAAATGACAAAGACATGCACATTCCACGGAGAACACATGAGGGACAGAGCATCCCTACCTCCTGGGATTTGAAGCCACCTTGTCACGTAAACCCAAAGCAGCAGTGCATAACCATGCCATTGGTCACATGCCAACAGGTTTCTGGAGGTCACTCTTTATAAAATAGATCTCAACAAAATATCTAGGCTCAGAGATAGCAGTCTTTTTGAGTGAAGGCCACACAGGCTGATACCTACAGATAATCTTTTCTTTGCGTTGTCAATTTTGATGAAAGGTAACTCTTAAAGATGTGTGGAGAAGACAGGCTCTGCCAGAGAGATGCCGCTTTAATCAGTGCACTGGATGGCAGGCATCCTGCTGGACAGCTTGTGAATTGCTGTTTGAGAAGCTCATTTTTGTGCGCTACTCTTGCAAACTTTTTTTTTTCTAATAGGTCCATGCTTGAGAATAAACAAATCTGTCATGTGAAAGACAAAGTTGTAATCTTAGGTTTCCAAGCATATGGTTCCTCCGTTCTCCCCTGCCTTCCCCCATATCCAGAGCTGCCTTGAAGGAAGTGACGTCATGCATCAAGAAAACAACCCTGGACCTCGCCGGGGGCCCACGGAGCATTCTGTGACTATTTGTGACCCTGCTGTGCCACCTTGGCGAGTGTGCTTGTGGGCAGCGCTGCTGAGAGGTTGCAGTGCCCCCTGACTAACAGCCACTCGGTTGCTTCTGTGGCTCTTCACACTTGTGTCCTGCATAGAAACTGCTCTTGCTCCGTGGGGAAGACTCTCTGGAGAGCTGTGGCCTTGTGCATGCAAGTGCCGCATAGCTGTGTGTATGTGTGTTTGCTTCTTGAAGAGACAGCTTTAGTTGCATTTATATAACTGACCTTTTTACTAACAAAATGTACTGATATATTTTGGGAACTAAATATACTTTTCTTGGACACCTCAACAATAACTGTAGGAGTCTGTGCTAAATAGAGTTGTTTATATGTACAGCAATTTTGAAGTTTTTTTTTTAATGTAATATAAGAGAATTACTTTAAGGAAATAAAGAGAATAATTTGCTTTTGTTACATTTTCAGTGAGGATTCAGTTTAAGTAAAGAGTCACTCAGAGGTCTTCCATTTCCTGATATTTACTCATGGGTAATGAAGAAACGCTTTAAGTTTTGTAACGAGTCCTAATTTATTTCTCTGCGGAGCCCTCAGTTCCGGTTGCCACCTACCTCCATGGACTTCCTGAGAATCGTGAATACCAGGACATGTTTTTATTAAGTTAGGTTCAAGTCAAGTCCTGGGGTTTCCCCAGTCAGTTTGATACAGAATCATTTGATCAAATATCTGTCCTAGGTAGATTCTACTTGAATTTTCAGTTGATTTTTTTTTTCCTTGAGATGACCGGTAAGGGGATCTTAACCCTTGACTTGCTGTTGTCAGCACCACGCTCACCCAGTGAGCTAACCGGCCATCCCTATATGAGATCTGAACCCGGGGCCTTGGTGTTACTAGCACCACACTCTCCTGAGTGAGTCACGGGCCGGCCCTGTCTTCCTCTTTTTAACCCTACTTTATATAACATGGATGAGCCTAAAAGAAAATGACATAACACTGATGAATTTCACCTATTCTATCTTTCACGTTTTAGCATTTACCTACTCTGTTGAAAGACAGTTGAAATGACCTTGGGTAAAAAGCAGTGTTCTCAATTTTGATTAGACCTAAAATATACAACAACCCTGCGGTAGATCATAAGCAATCATAAAATAGAATATTTGCAAAATCCTGAAAGAATAGCATTCTCTGTCTTTGGCCTATCAATTAGAAAGAGAGCGGTAGCAATCTGCCAGAGCTTTCATGGGATATCATTTGCATAGTTTTTCATTCCATCTGATTTCTGTCTCCCGCTAGTAGATCCCATTTTTTACATTTCACCACCATCTAATGCTATCTCTGAATATTGTGGTGCCTTTTTATACCTAATCCATATGAAGACTTAACTCCACACCTGTTCAAGAAATCCACATATCCTATGTTGCTGTTGTAGACCAAAGATGCATTTAATTTTAAAAACAAAAAGTACATTTAATTGAAAATTTGGTTTATAATAGAAATCTTTTGTAAATGTCAGGTGATCCAGCACTGTACCTCCAGCGGAAATCTGCATGCCTCAATTGCTGATATTCCTCAATACTTAGTTTCCTAGCTGGAATAAAACAGCCTGATTACCTGGGGTTAGGGGGAGTATTTCTGCATTATTATTTCGTTTAGGAGAGAAGAAACATGGAAGTGTCCCACACAGGAGAGAGCCAACAAGTATGAGTGTCTTTTTGGTGGCTTACAGGCCCAGGGTGCTGTACACAAATCAACTTCTAGGTTAAACTGTTAGCTGACATCGTTTTCCCTACAATAAAATTTCACTTGGCCAATATCGTTTTCACGATGCACAGAAAGTGGAGTTCAAAAGACTGGAAAAAAATAAGTAGAAACTAGCTGGTCTTGAAAATCAGAAGCTCAAATATTCTATGTAAATTTACTTAGCTACAACATACTTCTCATAGCAAATACTTTTAACTGATTGTGTAATTTAATAATTGGTCTTCTTTGTAAATATCAGCCTCTGCTGCGTATGACTTGCTCACCTCCTTCGCAAGGCTTTTGGTAATCTTTTTACTGATCAGCTTCAAGATAAGATGATGTTATCTGTGTAAGTGGAGTGATGTCCAGCTTCCAACTGATGCATTAGCTGTTGACTGCTGAAGTATGGTGTGCAAGATTGCTGTAACTTGATATGTATTTTTGTTGAAGTTTTTGTAAAAAAAAATTGACAATGTTATTTGAATGATTTCTTGTAAATGCTGTGAATCTATATTTGTTGTTTTGTATTTGTATATTAAAATTAATTTGCCAGACAGGTTCCGGTAGTTCATTTGAGTAGTAAAATAAGATAGACATATTTTTTTAAAGTGGAGAGAGTACCAGGAGAGTTTCTGGGACTTGCAGATCCTTCCCTGCCCTGCCATAGCTAGACCTCCTGTCAGTAACAATTGATCCATTGATGAGCTGGATCAAGCCACTGGGTGGGTGTGAGGGAGAGAAGTCTCAGAGGGAGAGCTGAGAGGACCCCCTGACTTGCAAAACGTCACTAGACTAGACTAGATGTTGTAATAAGACGGTTGTGAGCAGGGCCCAGCTTTGGCTTCAGCTGATGGAGGGTGGGTGACCCCAGGACCCTCCGTGGGGAGGTGTGCTCGTGGCCCTGGGCTCACTTAGCCTTTGGGGTGGGGTAGGTTATTTCCTTGTCTAATTAACAGCTCAGAAAAGCTAAGTAAATAGCCCATTGTTTGCTGTGTTCCTTTAAACGTTGCCAAGGGGCTTGTTTACGCTGAACACGAACCTGCTTCGAAGTGCTCGCCCTCTTTGGGCTGGACTGAGGGAGGGTTAGCTTGGCACGGGGGCACCTACAGGGTGGCCCGAGGTGGTGCCATGGACAGGAAGGAGGGAAAGTGAATGGAAGGCAGCGGCACTTTCTTCTAGAAGAGTCGTGGGGGGAGGGGAGGTGAACTGCTGCACATAAGCGCCGGCTGGGGAGGGCAAGCTGCCGCGTGGGGGTCCTCCAGAGGAGCGGGGGGCAAACGCAGGAAGCCCCGTGCAGCGCTGGAGGACCCGCGGTCCGCGAGGCCAGGCAGGGCCGAGCAGACACAGCTGGCGCCGGTCACTCGGAGGCTCGAGCGGCAGGTGCGCTAGACCCCAGAGCAGGGAGGCGATGCTGGACGGCAGAGGCCCTGCGGCCCGCGGCGGGCCTGGGGCTTCCTCTTGCAGAAACGTCACATCTGCCTGTGCCTGCCTCTGCCAGGGCGCCCGGGAGAGGCTGAGGCTGGAGCCGGCTGCAGAGCGCCCGCGCGGGCCTGGACAGCCCCGGACAGTGAACGGCCGAGCGGGCGGCGGGCAGGACGCCTGGGGTGGAGACGCGCATTGCTCAAGCGAGGGCCCGCAGACCCTTCAAGCCTGTCGTACAGACTGGGTCACCAGACCCCTCACTGCAGGTCCACGAGCTCAGTAATTGGGGAGGATCCCAGCAGACAACACGAGCTCAGTCCTCAGCGTCCTCAGCAGCGACAGTGGCCTCCCAGAGGGTCCTGGGGACACCAGCAGCAACGGCCTCCCCGTGTGCATCCTGGGGGCGGGGGGCCCCGTGGATCAGAGCTGCTGTCCTTTATACTTAAGTCCATAGCCCAGGACACCTGGGTGCACATGCGCAATTACATTAGACAAGAACCAAGGAACACCTGGGCGCACGTGCACGTTCACATCAGATGCTCGGCAAGATTCCGAACCCCGCAGGGACCCTGACCACTTATCTTCACTTTCCCTAAGAGGTGAGGGGAAAATGGGCGGGGAAGAGCTGTCGGAACCCCCACCCCCACCCATCCCGGCTAGGAAGGGACCAAAGGTGTCTGGGTTCAGCTGGGGGGTGGCCCACAGAAGCGGGCCCTGACCTCATTCCTGCCATCTACTTAAATGCCACCACGCCTGGGAGCTTGGTATTGTTTTGGCAGCTGTACTGATGAGGCAATTGAGGCACTGTGAGCAGGATTGGGGCTTGCTGAAGTGGGGCTTCCCGTCCACCCCACACCCCGTTCCCGGTGTGGTCTCTCCATTTGCACTGGAGAAACCAGACTTCGGCACCTCTGAGAAACAGTATTGGGTACATTTGTTCTCTTGAAATTATTTTTAAGTTTTTTGGCAATTGGCTGGTAATGGGATCTGAACCCTTGACCTTGGTATTACATTTTTAAGTTTTAGATAAATGTTAATAGACATTTATCGGGAAGAGTTGAGCCAGTGATTACATGGCATTGGAAAAATAGTTGTGCCATATTCTCATTTTTTTTTTTTTTTTAGTGAGGGTGTGTGTGTGTGTGTGTGTGTGTGTGTGTGTGTGTGTGTGTGTGTGTGTAATGAGCGCTACTAAATCCATAGCTATGCAAACGCCTAAAATCAAGAAGAATGACATGGAAGTTTGCAGATCTAAGTGGTAGTAATTCTAGTGGTCTGGGCTCCAGATGAGGCCTGACCTGGCCACTGTTCATCTCCAGTTTTCTCCTCTTGGTCCATAATTGGCCCAAGGTCAGCTGAGAAGCTGCACAAGCAGAGGCACAAACATCGCTTTGAAAAAGAAACCTGCTTGGGGATTCCTCCCCTAGACCCAGCTGAACACCTCACGTTGCCTCATTTTATTAAAAAGGACAAAAAAGGAATTAAGTTTTCTAAAGTAAGTGGTGCTGGTAGAAGATGCTACCTGACTCAAGTGTTGCTGTAATTTTTGAAGCTCTTCCAAGACAGCTTGTGCCTTCCTCTGTTCCCTCCCCTTCCTGCTATTTTGCAGATACATCCACTAGGGAATTGTATGGCAGGAAGGCACGATTTTATTTAGTTTGCCCTTGGTCCTGGTTTGCACAGCACCTGGGGACAGCCTGCCGCACTGGGTTCAGGTAAGCGCATTAAGTAAGGATTTCTTTACATTCAGTTTAAGGCATCTGGGTCCTAAAACAGCTCTTGTATTATCAATGTGATACTCCTGCTTAATTATTTGCAAAATAGTCAGATGTCTATAGAATTTTGGGTAGAAAAGGGGTAAGCCCGTTCCAAAATGTATTTTTGAGAAAGAGGCTAAACAGGAGATAAAAGCAGATTTTGAAATTTTTCTGCCAGAATTCTGCAAACTGGCTAGGAGGAGGAATAAAAACCATGGAAGACCTTCCTAGAGGGCTTTTCAGGAAAGCTTTCAAGAGAAGCTGGTAGATTATTTTGCCCAGATTTAATGTGTATATTTTTATATTCATGACTATGCTAATTTACACAGTATAGTAAAAAGAAAAAAAAACCCTTCAATATATGTTGAAGAAGAATACATAAAATGGACAATGTATAGAACACCTGGAAGGCAACTTAAAGATATTTGGATTCTTAGACTGTCAGGTCTGGGAGGCATGTTGGGGCACTAGTTCACCCTTTTGCGTTTTATGCACAAGGAAGCTGAGGCCTAGAGGTTTGGAGGCCCAGTAAAGATCACTCAGCTGGTTTCTGGCAGGACTTATTAAATCTTAGTATTGGGGGAATTAAGAATCTTGAAGAGTGAATCAAAACATTAGTAGTGAATGAGAAATACAGGTAAAGCACAGAGAAATAACCCAGAAATAAGAACCTATTTAATTTGGGACTACCCAGAAATAACCTATTTGGGACTAAGGAACTTTAACTCCAAAGTCTGTGTCCCAAGTCAGGCTCGTGAGATCACATGTCAGCAGAATGCATCTCTTCTCTGTGCATTCCTGTTGATTGTCTGGATCTAAGGCAGTGGCTATTGTAGGTTTTTAATATGTATTACCTGAGGGGTTGTAAGCCCAGTGAATCGTTGGCAACCCTGACTTAGGCTGACCAACAATAGATGTCCACTTCTGATAAGTGGCCCTTCCATGGGCAGCAGCTGTCTTGCGCTAGTTAGGATGTGGGCTTGGCTGTGTGTCACAGAGACCCCAAATAATGGTAGCTTAAGCAACTTGGAAGTATATTTCTGTCTCATGCACTCATGACAAAGATGGGCTGTTAGAAAGGTCTGGTTTGGGGCCGGCCCGTGGCTCACTCGGGAGAGTGCGGTGCTGATAACACCAAGGCCACGGGTTCGGATCCCACATACGTGATGGCTGGTTCGCTCACTGGCTGAGCGTGGTGCTGACAACACCAAGTCAAGGGTTAAGATCCCCTTACCAGTCATCATTTAAAAAAAAAAAAAAAGAAAGGTCTGGTTTGTGGTCATCGGAGACCAGGATTTTTCTGTCCTCAAACTGTTTCCCTCCTCAGGGAGTCCAAGATGGCCCACGACCCTGCTCACACCCGTCCCTTTAAGGTCTGGTCACAGTTGCACACTCCACTTTTGCTTACTTCCCATGGGCCAGAATCTAGTTACATGTCATATCCAGGCTGCAAGGGATGCTGGGAAGGGCAGTCTGTCAGGGGCAGCTGGGTCCCCAGCTGAAATTTCTGTTACCATGGAAGAAGTCGAGAAGGGGTGTTGGAGATAACTAGTGGTCTCCACCAAAAGCATTGACAAGGATCAGATTTGACACTCGGTCACCACCCCAGGTGATGATCCGCACATAGTCTGAACCAGGGTGATATTGCATTCATTCATTTCTACAAGTACTTTTGGGCACTGAAAATAAGAAAGTGGAAAGACGCTGTCTATTTTCAAAAAGCTCTAAGCGAGGCTGGTGCCTACTAAATGATTACTAGTCTAGGTGTGGGGGTTGGGGGTGGCAGAAATCCAGGTAAGAGAAGAGGGAAGGAGGAGCTGATCACAGGGAAAGACAGGAGACAGAAGGGTCCTAGCTCCAGAGCCTGGAGAAAGACCAAACATAGAAATTACGTTGAGGGTAATAAGTGTGGTTGAACTAATGAACCTGAGCTTTGTAAGAAGCACAAATGTAATTTTTTATTTCGTGAAATAACATTGATTTCTACTATATTCCTTGAGCGAATCTTTGACGTTTGACATTGAGGTGCAAACACTCTTCTAAATTTTCTTATTAGAGATAGTGCTACAACTTATTTCACTGCTTATTCAGAAGCAAAACGTGTTCAATTAATCAAAGTCACTTGTTGAAGGTTGTCTGTGTGCTAGGCACAGGTGTAGGCAAGCCAGACATACTCTCTGCCTACATAACATGCAAAACCAGTGAAAACATTATAGGAGGATAAATATCTGCTTTTATTTTCCATTTTCTTTTTTTTTTTTTTTTTTTTTGTCTTTTGTCTTTTTCCGTGTCCGGCAACTGATCGCAACCCTCAGTGTTGCCCCCGCACTGGACTGGGGACCGGCAACGGGATGGCAACCCTCGGCGTTGCTCCCGCGCCTCGCTCAGCCAGTGAGCAGGAACCGGTCTGCATGTGGGATCCGAACCCTCGGGCGGGAGCGCCGCCGCGCTTCCCAAGCGGCGCACTATCCAGTGCGCCACCGGGCCGGCCCCTATTTTCCATCTTCTTGAGCTGGAGAACAAAATATAGTTTATCCCAACTTGACATCTGTATGATTTTGTGATTTTTTTAAATTATTGGAATAACTGTTGTGCCGCTGTTTGAAAAGTTGAAAAGGAAAACTACAGGTCTCTCAAAAAAAGTGGGTTGGTGGAATTTAGATTTGACTGCTACCAGTCACTTCTGACTTAAACAAAGGAGGCTGGTGTAGACTATTTATGGAATTTGACTCTAGGAAAACTCGACTCAGTTTCCTGAAATGGGGTGAGTTTGCGACTTCGAAGGGAAACATCTGCGTGTCCTAGACTGTACCCTGTGATATTTGCAGGTTCCCACAAGATGGCAACATAGTCCTTAGGATAGCAGAGTGTTGCATTGGTTTTAAAAAATATGTACTATGTATCTAGAAATAATTGTATAGGCACTGTAAAAAAAAAAAAAAAAACATTTTTTAAAAAAAAAAAACTTCATGGCAACATAGTCCTTAGGATAGCAGAGTGTTGCATTGGTTTTAAAAAATATGTACTATGTATCTAGAAATAATTGTATAGGCACTGTAAAAAAAAAAAAAAAGCATTTTTTAAAAAAGAAAAACTTCCATGACCTCACCTTTCTAAAGAAACCATGTTCATATGCGTAGATTCACTTGTAGTTTTTGTCAATATACATATACATATAAGTACATTCATAACGTGCATGGCATTTTAGTTTACTGTTTTTATTTAACACAACACACATTTTTACATATTCCACATGACCTTCATAATTACTTCAGTGGTTACATATTCCTCTGCTTACTAAGCCACTCTCCTGTTGTTACACATTATGTAGTGTGCACTTTTTCACTATTCTGGCTAATGCTGTAGTTAATAACTTTGGCACACAAATTTTGAATTAAGAATTTTAGGGATGCGATCACTGGGTCAAAGATGGTCTTTTGCTGTTTAACTTTCCAAAGGGTTGCAGATTTACCTTGCCGCCAGCATTTTATGATCTGGGTTCTGACCAGTTGCACTAGCCGATATTTTTGTTTTGTTTTTTAAGTCCTACAATATCTACCATATGTTCATTCCATTTGACAGATATGCTGCTCGAGGTTTAATACTGAGTACTGGGAACACAATAATGAGGAAAATACAGTCAGATGAGGAGCCAGATTTTTTTTTTTCCTTTCTTTTTCTTTTTTTTGTGGCTGGCCAGTACAGGGATTCCAAAGGGAGCCACATTTTTATTCATACAATTAAACAAATGTACAGTCGCTACTGGGACAGGGAAATCAATAACCTGGGGTCGGGGGTGGGGGGCGCAGTGTTTATACAGGAAAAGACTTGAAAATGCGCTTCTCCCAAACCATGTGACTTTGTGAGTGTGTGTGTCCTTCACATTGGCCTCCCACAAAAACAAGACCTTAACTCAAAGAACACACCTAATCATGGTAGGACTGCTGGGAATACTTCACTGTTTTTTAAAATTTAATTTTTCAGTGTGGTCACATATTCATAACATCAAATTTTCCAGTTGAACCATTTTAAGTGTGCTGTTCAGTGCCATGAAGTACGTTTACACTGTCCATCTCCAGACCTTTTTCATTTTCTCAAACTGAAACTTCATACCCATTAAACAACTCCCTGTTTCCCCCTTTCCTGGGCAGCCACCCTCCTGCATTCCCTTTCTGTGACTTTGATTCCTCTGGATACCTCCTATCCATGGAATCATATGGATCTGTCTTTTGTGACTGGCTTATTTCACTTAGCATAATGTTCTCATGGTCCTTCCATGTTTGCACGTGTCAGAATTTCCTTCCTTTCTAAGTCTGGATGATATTCCACTGTATGCATGTACCACATTTTTCTCAGCCATTCGCCCAGTGGTGGACCTCTTGGCCATGATGAACAATGCTGCTGTGAAATGGGTGCTCAGTTCCAGTCCCTGCTTTCGGTTCTTCTGGGTATATACCCACAAGTGGAATTGCCAGATCTATGTTTGCTTTACTATTTATAATATGCGTTCATGCACATTTGTGATCAAACTTGGTCTTTACAACAGCTCTGTGAGATAAGTAAGCGTTCATCTCTTCTCTGGCTCAGAAGAGCAGTCTGCCCAAGTGAAACAGTGAACGGAAGAGCATCCTGACTTCCCACTCGGCTTCCTCACTGATCATTCACCATTAACAGCAGTTCCAATCTCACGTTACCTTCCAAGGACAATGTCCTTCTGACTGTAACCAGCTTGGTCAGCTGCTGGGTTTCTACCCTCACCTTCCCTAACCAAGTCAGACCAGGTGTGGGGCCATTCCCTACTCAAGGAGCAGAGGCCATGCCCGCAGCCCTAGGGACAAAGGATTCTCCTTTCGGTTTGTGTTTCCCTCTTTCAGTTCAGAGTCTGTCATCTGAACCATGAGGATCTGGTGGCTGCTGCTTGCCATTGGAGTCTGTACAGGAAACGGAAACTCAGAGGACACGTGCAGGCAAGGGCACCCTGGCATCCCTGGGAATCCCGGTCACAATGGTCTGCCTGGAAGAGATGGACGAGATGGAGCCAAGGGTGACAAAGGGGATGCAGGTACTCACCACCTGGTGGCCTTCAGCTGCCCTTCAGTTCATCCCTTCATTTTATCTTATTCATTCATCATCTGTGTAGTTTTCTACCTACCCACTCATACCTCATTTGCCCATCTACCCATCACCCAGCAAACACGTATCGAGAGCCTGCTCCAGGCCAGGTTCTGTGCTAGGTGCTGGGGTAAAGCACAGGACAAGGCCAACCTGATCCCAGCCTCCGGGGCTTTCTCATCTAGCAGGTATGCCTGCTGTGAGCCAACCGCTCTGATACCACAGGGCGTTTTCAGTAGTGTATGACGTCACAGGTCAGCCTGCCTCAGGCACAGGTGTGAGGCCTGATCACTAAGTGTTTGGCAGAGAGCATGCAGCTGCAGTGCAGGTAAGAGTTAATGCCTCGTTGCGCTGTGACGCAGGTGTGCAGAGTGACAGACTACAAAGATGGACAACAACCTAAGCCATTCAGCTGCTGCTCAGGGGTCTGTGACCTATGTTGGGACCCTGCCCCAGGGTTTGGGGATCTGGGGACAGGATCCAGCTTTGGGAGGGAGATTTGCAAAAGCCAGGAGGTGTGAGTGATTTCCGTAATACCAATCGATAAACTTGGTTTCCAAATGGGGTATCATTCCCGAGCCGTGTCTTGACCATAGTGTCACATCCATAAGACATATGCAGAATGACCCAGTTGGGTGCAGGAAGAAAACATTACAACTGTTATGAACGTTTCTAAAGATAAACTTGTGCTTCCAACATGTCTCAGCCCTTGGCATTTGGTGACCTACTGGTTTATTGAGTGGGCTGGATGAAGCTGAGGGTCACCAGGAAGCAACTTTATTTCTTTCCAGTTTCTGCCAACCCGCTCTGTGGGGTCTCTCCTCCCGCTGGATGACATCTCCAGCTAATCAGCACTGGTCCAGTCACAGTCGTTAGCATTAGTCTCATTTGCAAGTAGCAAAAAGCCCAGTCCAAATTAATAGCAAAACAGTCTTTATGAAATCAAGTCTTTTACTCTCCTTTTGAGACTGCAGTGAGAGGCGTGTGCATGTGTGTTTTATTTCTGAGTATATGGGGTTTTAATTTAAACAACTTTTGGCATAAAATATTTTATACAAACAAAAGGAGAGAAATAGACAATTGATAGATAAATTAAAAAATAAAGAAGAATAATACAAACACTCTTATATCCAATACCAAATTTCTGTACCTCTCCCCTATTGAATCTCTATTCTTCTTCCTCAGTGGTGTATCCATTCTTTCAAGTTTTACATATTTCTTAGAAGTGTATGTGTTTTATATATATTTTCTATGTAGTTCATATATATTATATATAACATATTTCTTAGAAGGATATTCAATCACATTGCTTACACCAAAAATTCACTTCAATTTTTATCTTATCCTCTTAAAATGTGTTTGTATGTCTTACAGCAAACACATTTTTAGTGTCCCATCTGCACATAATTTAGAAACACCTTCATGTGCATTGATTATGGCTCATGCTCACACTTTGTTACTTGGGGTTGTGTGATCATGAAAATTCGGAGGCCAGTGCTCTAGAGCATGGAAGCCCAAAAGAAGTAAGGACAGGATGACCTATGCTCTTGGAGCGGCCAGTGTGGGGACGGGGAGGGGTGGCTGGGAGGAGGAGAACGTGGGATGCCAGGGCCTGCTTGGGAGACCAGACATCATGATGGATACAAGCCTGCCTGTCCTGGTTCTGTCTCAGGACCTGAAAGCTGGCTCAGCCTGCCCC